TTTATTGTTTTATCTAATTGAAATCCTGTTTCACAATGGAGGTCAAAGTTTGTTTGATATTAGTCTGTTGTTGATTAGAGTGGAGTCAATTTCTGGAGAATGGGAAAAAAAGAAACGAGATCAGACCTTGACGTAGATAATGGATAATAAGAAAATCTCTCGTGATATTCCTCCGGCATTACGGTTTGTTTGTTTTGCTTGTTTCCTTCTCTGGGTTCAGCAATATTGGGCATATACACAAAACGTGAAGTACTTAAGGTCGTTGTGCCGATTTAGATTAGCGAACGTATTGAACGTTTTTAATTTCGGAACCCCATTCCGGGGAAATAGTTTTCTCTGTAATAATGTTCAATCGGTTCTTTATTTTGGCTTCGATTATTTTCGATTCTGCACTCAAGGTTCTGGCCGGAGGAGAAATAATGGACGAGCCGTGCTTTTGTAATTGGCACTTGCGCCAGTACTGTTATTCAAAACGGCAACTGCCGTAACAATCGAACGAGATAAAGGTTAATTTGTTAATCGGGATAAATGAGGCCAACTTAAAGTGGTTGGTAATAAATAATTCGGAGGAAATAGAAATGTTTTCTATTTATCCAATGACCCACAGTCCTAACAACTGAGACAATATATTTGAATGTTTGTAACATCTTTGAGGTATAATAGATATTTTAATGATGGATTCGACTTTTATTTCTTAAAAAATGTTCCTAATTTTTTAAATCGTTTTTTCTTGTAGTGTTTAGACATTTACCTATCTTGACCGAAATGAACTTGCAATTGGCAGGAACAAATATTAATTCGAATAGGCTGCATTAATATTGGACTTAACTTGTTGGAAAATTTTCTAGTGCTTGCACCTTCTGAAAAAAGCCTTTCATGGAATCAACTATATCTGAAAACAATACACCAACCCCACTGGAAGCATTAGTTTATTCTTCAGTCGAAGTCTCCCTTTCTGGTACAGAATCCGCATTCCATCCTAAACCATACTAATATTTTAATTTCTCTTTAGTCATTTCAATTTTCATTCGTTCAACGTATATACGGTAAGACACTAAAGGTGGCCATTCACGATCACTCCAAATGGAACCGCGCCAAGCCGAACAGCTCCATTTGGAGTGCCTGAAATTTGAGGGGGCATTCAAGACCGCTCCACAGCCAGTCGCTCCGAACGTCAACCAGTGAATTACTTTCTCAAAGTGGATCTGTTGTGCTACTCTTCTGTTTATTTACATATTAAAAGCAAAAAATCGAAGAGGAAATGGTGTAAGAAGTGGCTCCTGAACAGAAGCCGTAATACCCACATCAATTTGATGAAAGATCTTTCCCTTGAACCCGCTGATTGGAGGAACTATTTAAGGATGGATGAAACGTCTTATTTATTCATTATATTTAGT